CCCCGCCTCTCACAGATCCAGGGACACATACCCCCTCCCTGCCCCCCCGTGCCCTCTGTGCCCCCCAGATGAGCCATGGCTCCATCCCACATCCTGCCCCACCCTGGCTGGGCAGTGTCTACCCCTGCCCCACTCCTTCCTTCCCTCACTGCGGGGGGTGTTTATTTGCCCCCCTACGCTCCTTCCCTTCCATCTCCCCTTCCACTACAAAGGACTTACCAGCTGGATGTAGCTGTATCGGAAATCGGATCGATATCAGCCAATATGCCTCTTTAAAAATCAGCTATAAGTATCAGCCCCCAAAATCTCTGCACCCCTACACTGCTATTCTCCCTAACTGCTTGCTCTCACACACAGCTACAACCAGAGTCCTATACCTTGCATTTACAATCAGCCCTTGGCTCAGTGTCTTAGCTTCTGATTGGCTTTGCTGTGCTGCTCATTACTTTGATTGGTGGGTGTTTCTTGTTTTAACAAAATCACTTGTGCCCAATCTTTTCACTCTGCGGGTCAGATTAGCAATGCTAAATTGGTCCATGGGCTGGATCTGGTCAGTAGGCCTGAACTGGCGCACAGTGCTGGCCCAACCCAGCCATGCAGGTCTTGGAAATTTGGCAGTGTTAATTGCTACCACTCTACCACCAAATTTCCAGATCCATGGGGAGACCCATGGGCCAGATGGCATGGCTCCATGGGCCAGATCTGGCCCATGTGCCAGGGGTTAAGTACCCCTGGACTCAATGTACATACAGCTTATTTATAGGTTACTCCTTCCATTTACCTGCAAGAAAGGTGTCTACTATTCCCACAGATTTTTAACTAGGTCTGAGATTGACGTATAAATACACACTTGATGGCAGCCATTAATTTCATTCAGCAAAATGGTCAATTTAAAAAAACAGATGAAAATCTTGTAGATAGTACAAACAAAGAGCAAGAAAGCAATGCTGTATAGGGCTCATTGCACTTTATGGATTAAAATGGAGGATGAATTTAAAGTGTAATAGCTATTCCTGAATAACAGGTTTGGACATCCTTTTTTCTGGAATGAGTGTGTCCGCGTATTCCCAAGTTTTGAATAACTGTGCCTAAATAATGAATCCAGAATCCCTCCATTTTATAGACAAGTTTATATTTCTCAGATTGCATACCATGAGAGAGAGATTTAAATGCTCCCTCCTGCAAATATAACTTCCACTGCATTTCTCTACAGAACAGAGTTTTACTGAGGTTGCTAAATTACAACATGTGATGGTGCCAACTTCCTCAGTTTAGCATACAATAAGCTGTAAACAATCTAGCATCTAGTTTGTATTAAAACTCAAGAATATTGGTGAGTTTTTGCCATGTTATATCTAAAAACAATTTGTTAATGTATGCTAAATGAAAATGCACTGAGCACTGAGCTCCAAACTTTGATTGTAACCTAGAAGTGCCCAGAACAGCCTAGGGCCACATGCTAGTGTGTATAGTGAAAAGTGTATGCTGTTATGTCATCTTTCCATTTGCTTGGTACTGGTTTGCATGTACACTGAGCCAGTCCCTAAGGACTGTTCTAAATTAAGCTAGCTGCCAGTAGTGATGCTAAGAAGCAGATAGATTATTGGAGTATGCACCCTACATTGGCTGCAATGAAGGGTGGGCATTGGAGGAGCTATTACATAAGCTCTGTAGTCTCCCCCTGCCCCAACTCCCTTTTGCAAGAATGATCATCCTTGGGCTGGCTAATCTAGTGTTAGGTTTGTTTGGTGTCAGTGGAACAGCATAAGCATTCAGAATTCAGCCAAGGATTGGGTAATATGTTAAGTGACATTAAGCTCAAAATGCATTGTGCAGTCTCACTAACAGAAGTATAGTGTACATTCAATTAGGGTTTTGGTTTGGACTGAGACGATTGTTCTGTGCTTTCTAAAAGTAGAAAACAATCTTTTCTATCTGTCTGGTCCTGCTTGTATGACATGTTGATACTCATGTCCCATAATGCTGTATCTGTGCTGTGCAGTATTATAAACAAGCTTCAACCTAATACATATTTGTTTGTATTTTATTTTGAGATAACATCAGTTATTAAATATGAAAAATTACTTCATTCACAACCACCTATTAAAATAGTCCACAGGAGATGGAATTGCTTGCTGCCAGTTACTATAAGTTATCATAGTGTTTCTAGTTGTTAAGCATTTAGAAATTACTCATCTTTCACCCAGGTTATGAACCATTAGAGGCAATAATTTACTTTATTTTTTGGACTCCTTGTTGGTATTAACCTCTTCTCTTTTTGTATTTCTCTCCCCCAGTCACACCCAGCTTGTCAGGGCCCTGAGTTCACTTGGCATCTTTTTAACATCAATGGGCACAGCCCACTAATTCAGCACTTCCTCCAGAGCTACAAGGCTGAACCACAGGCTGGACAGGACATCCTGATTCACAGGAGAGAGATCTACAAGCCTATACCATATCCTTATGAACAGTTCAAAGAAATTAGAGAAGGGAAAAGCCTGCCTATTCACCAACACAGGATTATTCTTTGCAGTCTGTTATTTGAATACTTTGTCCATCTCAGTTGTCAACAGGTGTATTACAGTGTTAGGCTTCCACCAGTTTCCCATAGGAAACTATTCCACAAACTGATGTCTTAGTTGGGAAGAATCTCCCAAGAGCCGTCCCCAATTTACTCCTCTTATTGTATCACCCCTGTCTCTGTCTTTGTTGGACATACAATGACAAAGAGAACTGCTCAGTATTTGCATTCTTCATATACTTGCAACTGAAACACATTTGCTTCTCATGCTGCTTGTTGGCGCCTAGCCAAATTATACATGTAGTGTTTTTTCCCCTCAATCTCTTTTTGTAAACAAATTGTATTCCCTCGCTTCTGTTTGCAATGTCTTTTGTAGGCATTTCTTTGTTCACCCTCCATCCTCAGTCTGTGGATTCCTGGCTTAATCTGCATGGCTGCAGAACTTTGTTCAGTTGCAGAACTGAACCGTAAGTTAAGAGTGGTTTCAGGCTGCTGGAGACCAGATTGCTACAGGTGATGTTTTGTGCTGTGTGGCTAGGTTGAAGAGACATGTTGGCAGTTTGCCTACATATTGGATGGATGCCACTGCAATGGTGACAACTCTTAAAGGGGTTGCCTGTCACAGAATAGGGTTAGAGCGTTAGACTCCCACTAACAAAGTGAGAAGGTTAAGAAAGCAGATGTGATAAGAGGGAGTACTAGAATATAGGGTGAAACAAAATCCTTTCATAGTGGATGAACGAATGGCATGAATTTGAGGAGGGGGGCTGAAAATAAAATGTTTTTCTATCAGGGAATTTTTGTGCTCATGAAAGTTCAGGCTCTGGGTGCAATAGGTACAGAGAGGTAGAACATACTCAGAGCCTCAGCCAGGCATCCATGTCCTAACAATGCAGCTTTCCAGCCTTGACCACTGCCCTCCCCACCACACACACACCTGCAGCTCTGTCCATGCATCCCAATCCTGATCTCAAATAGCTTCTTTTCCAACTGTGAGTACCTCCCCCATATGCAGAAGGCTGCCAGTCCTTGCAATCTGACCTGCAGCCTCCCCTCATGATATCTTTTAGCAAAGAGGATGGAAAAGAGAAGGCACCGTTTGTTTCCTTTACGTTTAAAATCACAGAGTCTTCTCCAACCTATGCAGATATAATCCAACAGAGTTTTCATCATCTCCGCCAGCTAGAAAGCACTTTCAAAAACATGTACCAGCGACACTGCAGGGAAATGAGGGATTTTGACAAGCAGCAGCAGAAGGAAAAGCAAGAATTCCTCAGGTACAAAATTAAGTGTTCAGTTTCATTTTTAGCATATTTTGATGTGCAGAATCCAACTGGTGATTTCTTTGAGCCTGCCGTAGGCAAAACCTATTAGCTAACATTGATTCTGGAGGAGTTGTGGATGTGGGCAAAATAGGGAGATAATCTGTGGTGTAACATTAGTTAATTATTCCCATAAGGCAGAAGCATGCAGCATAGCTTAGGGTAAAATCTGTTAACCAATGCTCATTTCAGAACAGTTTTGGATGCAGTGATTTAGAGATGGTGATCATGAATTCTGGTCAGGTGAACAGCATGATTCAAACAGTGGGAGGGGGCGCTGAGTGCTATCAAGATTTGTGAACTTGTAGATTAGCTGAGAAGAGTTTATTCCAAAGTGGTACAGAATCCACTGCTGGATTTTTCCTTTGACTGCTTTAGGTCAGGGGTGTCAGATATACAGTCTGCAGACCAGATTTGGCCCACAGAGCCAGTCTGGTCTACAGGGCTTCTAAGGTGACCTGGAATTTTGGGCAGAGTCCACTTCCAAACTCCTGGGTATGCAGCCCTTTTGGGAATGATTGTCTGTAGCATGGGCAAGCTACAGCTGCATTAACCCTTGTGACCACTGCCTCTTCTGCTTACCCCATTGCCACCACCATGTCTAAATTTGGCCTGCAAAGAGCCCAGTGATCCAGATTCTGCACAGGGGGCTGGGGGCTTTAGGTGCCTGCTGTAGATGATTTAAGAAATATTTTATGCCTGTAATACTTTAAATGTTTTTGAATTATTTCTATTACTTTTCCTGCTTTTTCTTGCCTCTGCACTCCACAGGAAAGAGAAGCAATTGCTCTTGGAAAAAGGAAAGATGAAGACACTGAACCAACTGCTGCCCCCTCACTTAGATGTACTTTGCAGTTCTGACAAGACTTTGGGTGCATCAAGAAATGTCATCACTCAGGGCCAGCCTTAAATTAAACTGTACCCTAAGCAAAAAAGAATGTTATCCTCCTAAAATTTATTGAGCATAAATGTCTGTTTGCAACTCTGCTGCATCCTAATACAGTATGCTTTGGGCAGTCAACCCCAAACATCAGAGCTTTTGCCACTGATTAGGAACAGTCAAACCTGAAAAAGATGTCGATTCAGTTCACAGAAGCACTTGGAGAGTGTAAATGTTTGAGTTCTAACCTCTTTGGTCTATAAACCTAGACTGGAAAAATCTCATAAAATGTGTATTGTGTAAGAACTGAACGAAAGTGATATGTGGTGATGAAAAAAGCCAGCTGCCTCTTTTTAAAGTTTGTTTTTATTGCAGAGGTTTGAGTTGTCTTGTTTTATTTGAACTCATTTAATCCTAGGCTATGCAGCTCAGATTCTTTGCATCTCCTTGCCAACTACACCTATGGTTGAAGCAACACTGGCCAGCTGGAGACTTTCCAAGATGGAAGGAAGCTTGCTAGTTTTCTCTTCTGGTGAAACCTAGTATGAATCCAGCCCTGTCTTGGTTATCCTATCTGTGAAATGAAGACAATATGTTTATCCATTGGACAGTATTGTGAAGCGTAGTGTATGGATAGCATTCTGGAACTATCAAGTGGAATGTGTTATGTATCCTAACTGCACTTCAGGATGGGTAGCACTCTTTCCAGCTATGTCCACTCATCAATCTGTCTCTAAATAGGAAAAAAACAGAAGCAAGGACTTCTGAAACTAGGAAGCTAATGTTAAGTGTTGTCTACATAGGGTGAATTGATGGGAATAGCTATTCTGGTGTAACCGAATGCTATTCTGGATTAAAAGGGTACTCCCAAAACTCACATTCTAGAATGAAGTCATTTTTATTTTGGAACAGACTGTCTATGTGGGAGCTATTATGGACTCACTCTTGTGGGACAGGTTGTTCTGCAGTAATGTTAGACAGTTTCCCTGTGGAGACAAGGCCTTAGAATATCAAGCCAGTATATAAGTATCTAAATAACTGGCTCAATTTCAAAACTGCTGTGAGCACTCCAACTTTCCCACTGAGGTGGAAGGATATATCTATCTTTCTATGTTTTATTTTCTGAGCTGGTCAGTATAAAATGAGCCTAAATGCATTCCAAGAACTGAGGATGGGATTTTCAGAAGTACCTGGGAAAAATCATTAAGACATGAGCCATAGTCATTTAAGTGGATTTGAAAATCTCACTATAAATAAAGCAGGAATCCCAGTCCTGGGGCCTGCGCTGTTCAATTTCTTCATCAGC